TTTCTATTTTAACATGATTTAAGTCATTCAGAAATATTAATATAATCTATTTACCTTAGTGGTGGCAGATTTGACCAAGTTCACCCTGTGGTCAGCCTTACGTAGCTCATGGTAACTTGCAGAGGAATTGGTAAAGATCTCAATACCATCTAAACCCATGTCAACATGTGGACTAAAGAGAGAAGTAAAAGTTAGTTACATTTTTCAAAGAAAAGCAATTATGGAACTGCATTCATGTTTTATTTCACCAGATTATAGCATAACATAAATGTCTAAATGTTCTCTGCAGGAGATTAGGAAAGGATTAAAGGAACAGCCTAGTAAGAATATGTTAAAAAACAATAATTTGACATTCATACAGTATTGATGAGATTATTGTTTGCAGAGCATTACCTCCTGGGGTTCCACAGCTCAGCACAAATCTCACTCCCTATGCAGGTGTCCTTGGTGGACAGCACCCCATCTCCAAACGGCACTGTGGTCTATCAATGAGGACAGCTGAGCTTATTATTTATGCCAAATAATGTGTCGTTGCAAATATACATATATACACTGAACAAAATTATAAACGCAACACTTTTGTTTTTGCCCCCATTTTTCATGAGCTGAACTCAAAGATCTAAGACTTTTTCTATGTACACAAAAGGCCTATTTCTCTCAAATATTGTTCACAAATCTGTCTAAATCTGTGTTAGTGAGCACTTCTCCTTTGCCAAGATAATCCATCCACCTCACAGGTGAGGCATATCAAGATGCTGATTAGACAACATGATTATTGCACAGGTGTGCCTTAGACTGGCCACAATAAAACGACGCCATACACGCTGTCTGCCATCTGCCCTGTACAGTGAAAACAGGGATTCATCCGTGAAGAGAACACCTCTCCAAAGTGCCAGAATTCTTTGGTTATGCAAACCGATTGTTGCAGCAGCTGTCCGGGTGGCTGGTCTCAGACGATCTTGGAGGTGAAGATGCTGGATGTGCAGGTCCTGGGCTGGTGTGGTTACACGTGGTCTGCGGTTGTGAGGCCGGTTGGATGTAATGCCAAATTCTCTGAAACGCCTTTGGAGACGGCTTATGGTAAAGAAATGAGCATTCAATTATAATTAAGAGTATAATTATTTTTGGTACTTAATTATTAATAATAGTTCTTATTATTATTAATGATGAAAACAGTTTTTGCTGCTACATATTTCTGGATTCTTTCTCTGTCAGGATTCTTTCATGAACAGATATTCAAAAGAAATAGAACACTTTTCTAACATTATAAATGGCTTTACTTTGACTTTTGATCAATTTAATGCATCCTTTCTGAATAGAAGTATTCATTTATTTAATTCCTTTTTTTTTTTTTATCTTACTTATACCAAACTTTTGAATGGCTGTATATCACGGTTTCCACAAAAATATATATATATTTTTTTTGTGAAAAAGTTTTTTGAGCTGGTTTCATGAGCACCAAATCAGCAAATAATAATAATAAGAAGAACCATTATTAATAATTACATACCACTAATAATTGAGCTTTATAATTCAATAATACAAGATAATATTATTTTACCTGCCCTGTCAGATCTTGTATCATTCTGGGTAAAAAGTACTCCTCAACATATCTGCAACGCAATTTATTTCATATGTGATCTATCATTTATCACTGACTATTAAAGACTTTGCTAGGCAAATGACCCCAATATTTAACCAATACATCATGGAATATACCTGGGTCGACTCCAAGGTGAAAACCATCTAAATTCCCTGTTGTTGCCATAATTAGCCAAGAGCATTTTAGGACGAATTAACAGTATCTTTCTGTCAAATATAAAAATAGACATATTATTAGATATATTATAAGATATGATTATACATATTTTTTGCATTATTGTAATTATCTGATTATTAAGCAGTAATGCAAATGCTTTATAATGCTGTACTATAGTAATATCTTACTTGTTCAAGAAAATGACTCTGCAGTTGTATCGAACATTGTGATGCATAACAGGCCTGTGGACAGAGCAGATGAAAGTGAAGTTAAATGCATTAGAAACCATATACTTTTTTTTCTATTTCCTAATGTTTTAAACAATATCACCTACATTCCCACATCACAGGTGATGTCTTGGGTCAAAGGAGATTCCAAGAGCGACTTCAGAACCTGGAAACAATGGAGCAGGATGTCTGACTCGTAGAAATGGTCTGCACAGCCGTACCCACTGATGTATATGAACGATTTGTGAAGGACCACAAAATACAGTATCATCAGTTTTCAACATTTTTACAACAATTTTAGTAACTAACTCGTATGTGTGTGTGTATATATATATATATATATATATATATATACATACATACACTGCGTGTCTGCATGTATTCTCAATTGTACAAATGCATCTCATATTCGTTAAATATCTAGTCTGTGAGTGACAATATTACCAGATTTCTAGCTCTGGTCCCAGTCTGTACTTGGCTCCTCTCTGTTTGGCAATCTCAATGCCTGTTTTGGAGAATAAAGTAGAACTAAAATAATACGAGGTCACTTTAAGATCATAAGACCTTTAGTAATGTTAGTTACTGCTACTACTGGTTACAAATTGCAGGTGAAGAATCAGAACTTACTTTTAAGTATTCTTGTCAAGTTGCCTTCAAAATCCAGTGCCCACTGATTCAAGGAGCAAGTCGCCAATGTAACCTTGCGACCCATTTTGCACAGCTACAAATGATTTAAAATGTATCAAAACAACTCTGCACCTGACAGTAGTCGTGCAACTGTAAGTTACTCAAAACTTTTATTTACTGCAGTTCCGTTTCCGGTCTGTGCAATTCTGCACTTCAAAGTAAAAGTGGAAAACTATTTAAAACTCCGAATATACTGTAGTTGAAACATATTTGCATTAAACTAATAGCAAAGACAGTACAAATATTGAGGTTAAACATTCTGTGACAAACAACATGCAATCTCTTCTATCCAGACCCATAATTAAACTAAACTACCAACGCCATCCAATAGTTTTTCAACGTATTTAAATTTTTAAATAATCCGTCTGTAAGAATAAACACACAAGGAGTCAAACTGTTTTTTTTCAATACTAAAATAAATTTAAATTTAATAATACGTTTCTTTATAAGATGCTATTTCTTTTATGTTTTTGATGGCAATTGTACACTGATTATTAGCTTTTAATAATAAGTGAGATGTTTTATCTACAAATTTGCCAGTGGACTAAGTAAAGGTTTTACGTGTGTTTATGAAAAGGTTGATATTTTCCTTCCAATGGACCCTTTTCACATCGTAAATCCTCTAAAGTTTTTCATATTTGTATTTTTTAAAAAATTTATGTACATTTATAACACTATTCTTTGTATTATATCACCTTTGCATCAAATTACAAAAAAAAAAACAGTTAATGCTAATGCGAGGGTGTTTCTAATGCAGCGTCTATGGGAGGGACGGTAAATTTGACATCGTTCTCTCTTCCGACAGCCGTTATCAGTCTCTCTCATTTTTTTCCTTTTATTGAAATTCATGAAAACACTACCATGGAGTTTTTCTTTTGCTATTTGAGCAAATGGGATTGCAAAAAATATATTTGTGGTACTCTCCCATTCACTGCTATTCAAGTTAACCCAACTATGACGACTTCCGCTGCTGAAAAACCCGGAAATGTGAAAAAGGTCCATTAATTATTTTATAAATTCGTGTTCTATACTGGCGAATTGCAATTTATCATGCATTTTTCATTTCTAATGCTCCAATGTAAATGCGTAAATGTGGTGCAGATGGACGCTCTTGACAGCAGGATCCATGGACTGAGCTCATCAGGCGCTCATGGCTTCAGGTCTCGGTTGACCAATCACTGACACGAGTATGTATTTCATCTGTCTCTGATTGGATGTACGACGCTTGTGGGTGGAGTTAGAACTCGGCCAGAGACTCCCCTTTGCTCGTTACATCACTGTGATCATCTGGGCAGCGTGAAGTGGCGCAGCATCAGCCCCTATAACTGTAAGCGTTTTGTGATATTTCACTTTTTAAACAGTTGTTTTTATGCAGTACCTTTTGCCACTTATTATAATGTTACATTTATTTTAAGTCAATATTTGCAGCATTATGCATTGCATGTACAGCTTATTAAAATCTATGCGTTTATTGTGCAGCACTTCCCTTTCTAATCCAACTACAAGATGCAACTTTATCAACAGAATAGAATGATGATTTGACGTGTGGTATGACTGCATTGTAAACTATACACATGTTTTCTCGAGCGCTGTATGTACACACACCTTTTCAAAAGACGTTTTAGTGTCTGCATCCTGCTTAATGATCGTATTGGATTGGGGTAATTACAACTGTCACACTGGAGAATGGCATTGATATGACTATAATCTTACAGTCCAGAAAGTATGTTACGACTGGAGTCATATTTCGCTTTAAACTGGTTTATGTCGCATTAAGCTCAACGAGCACATTTACTTTGGCAGAACAGAAGAATGACGCACAGGTGTCACGTACACCTGACGTTAAATCAGCGTGACACATGATTGGGTGTTTTTGGCCACTTTTTTCAAATAACGTATTGTGTTTATTAATAATTATGATGATACATATCTCATAGATATCTATGGCACAACTAACTAGCATTTAATGTATCCTAAATACACTCAAATCATATTTTTGTTTGATTTGATAAAATTACAGCTTGATTGTAAATGAAGTACAATAAGAATATTTACCTTGGTGCCTTCTGTTTCATCCCAAACATGATCTTTAGTGATAATGTTGTCTTCTTGGTAAACAAGGACACTTTAAAAAAATATATATATATTAGGGCAATTTTTCTTAGTTGTAGTGGAAATGATGCCGTAACTAAAATTGATTTTGTTTAGATTATCATAGTTTTCAGCATGTTTAGTATTGTCCAATGCACCTTATTATTGATGCTCTTATACTGTATGCTCTTTTTGTTGCATGAATTATTATGCTATTGCATATTTTAAACCATATAATGCTGAGTAGAACATTTCTCTTGGTGTTATTCATATGTGTGGGAGGAGTGCAGGAGGGTGCCCGAACACCAGCAGGTAAAAAAAAGACATTATTCATTTGCCATAAGGATATAACAAAGTTGTAAAAAAATAAATAAATA